TATTTTTATTACTTAATTCTTTATTTTTATTATTTTAATTATTTAAATATTATTTTGACAATTGATCATTGACTCCCGCGTTGACCGTTGACTCCGACGTTGACCGTTGACTTCCGGTGAGAATCGTTGACTTATGGCGTTGACCGTTGACTTCTGGTGTTGACCCGTTGACCCCTAGTATGCATCATGTATGAAGTAAATATGCATACAGTACAATGCACTTAATATGAATTAAATATGCATGAGATATGAATTATACATGTCATCCTTATGAACTAAAATGCACCAATAATATCAACTATGTATGCACTGTTTATATACTAAATATGCACATTTTCCTAACGAAATATGCATTATGAATGAACTAAATATGCAACGAATATATGCAGTAAAATATAAATTTCATACAATTAAATTAAATATAATAATTAATTATTTTTATTATATTAATTAATTTTAATTTTAAATTGATTAATATAAGTTATTGATCTACACAAATAAATTGTTATGATTGGATCTCAAATAAACTAGGTATGCATTGTTCATGAACTAAATATGCATTTCATAAGAACTAAATATGTATCATTAATTAACTAAATATGCATCATAAATTAACTATATACGCATTGTTATATATTTAATTTAAATATACCAAGTATGCATTTCATATTAACTAAATATGCTTCATAAATTACCTAAATATGCATCGGAAATTAACTAAATATGCATCATAAATTACCTATATAAAATGTACATTTTATTGCATATTTTCGCTGCATATTTAGTTCATTCATGATGCATATTAGGTTCATAACAGATGCATATTTAGTTAATAACAGGTGCATACTTAGTTGATATTATTGGTGCATATTTAGTTCATAAGGACTGCATATGTAATTCATGCATATTTAGTTCATAAGGACTACATGTGTAATTCATACCCCATGCATATTTAGTTCATATTAAATGCATTGTACTAGATGCATATTTACTCCATACATACTGCATACCAGGGGCAACAGGTCAACGTCGAAGTCAACGGTCAATGTCGGAGTCAACGCCGGAAGTCAACGGTCAACGTTGGAAGTCAACGGTCAACGTCGGAGTCAACTAATAATTATTTTATTCTTTAATTAATGTATATTTTAATTGATTTTGATCTAGACAAAATGAGTGGCTAAGATTGAGTCTCATATATATATATATATATATATATATATATATATATATATATATATACTAGTACAACACCCGTGTATTACATGGGTGCTTGTTAAAAAATTATTCTTAAATTTTAAAATTAATGAGAAAACTATATTAAATTTAGTTTACGTTTTTACAAAAAAATATATTACTATATATTTTAGAATGATATGTGTTACTTATTACTTACATGTGTTATATTATCTTAGTTTTTATAACTTATATTATATAACTACTTGAAATATAAATATATTAGTTGATAAATAATTTTATTAGTTTTTATAACTTATATTATATAACTACTTGAAATATAAATATATTAGTTGATAAATAATTTTATTTTTCTAATTAATATTAAAAATAATTTTATTATTGTTATAAAGACAAGTATAAATTGTTCTTTTATACATACAATATGGATGTTAAATCGAAACTCATCAAAAGAAGATTAATTTGATATATTACATATGTAAAACTGATAAAAAATACAAAAGTTATTAGCTTTTAAAATATATATACAATTCAATAGTTATAATAAGGAATGATATTAAAATGCAATTAATACATGTAACATAACCATAAATAATCAACATATTTATGGTAATTCGAACCTAATTATTTTTTGTTTGGAATTAAATTAAAATTTACCTGAGCCTAAAAACGAAGCATGTAATTTTGCCACACATGATTCCGAAGCACCAGAAGCAGCCACGTCGGCTCAGCGCGTTCTGGATTAATATATAAGGGGAGGGGGATATATGAATTATTAGGTATTTAAGTTTTTAAACATATGGATAATTGGATTCATGTACTTTTGTAGATTAGTTGTTTTGTTTTATTCTGTTTGTAAATAGGTATCCCAAAGTTGATTTGAATTCTTAAAACATACAAATTTGACAATTATTTATGGAATATAAGCTGATCTTTGATGGAATTGCACATAAATTTTATAGGATATGCACCTAATCTTTACCAAAATTAATGAATTAAGAGTTGTCAAGTAGATTCCCATTCTCTCATGCCAATTAACTAGTATGTAACCCCG